TTTTTTTTTTTTTTTTGTCCTGGCAGATTCCGACTGCACTCTTCAAGAGCTGTCCGAATCCGCAATAAAATTTTCAAGGTGTAATATTTTTCAGGGGGCTTCCAGAGGGGGGCAGGGAGTTATTATTGACATATTCAGGCAAATATTGCTTCCACGGGGAGGGGTCAAGTAAGCAAGTTCACTTATCCAACCCCCCCGTGGCTGTAGCACTTCCTGGACTGTGTCATTTGATATTGATACCCCACGAGCTGAACCAGATATGATGAGAGGAGGTCCTTGCCAGAAGTTATATCTCTTCCAGAGTATAACTCGACAGCAGAAGAGTTATGGTTCCAGCTTTCAGCTCGTGGAGGCAGTGTTTTCTGTTTGTTGGTTTCTACATAAGGTGAGTTATCAGTCCGGAAGTATCTTGCCTGGCAGTCTGTCCAGATACATGTAGTGGAGCAAGGTCCATTCGAGATAGATAGAGAGAAGAATAGAGCTTAGGTCCATTCTTGGGCTTGCACCTCGGACGGCTCTGACATCACGATTCCAAAATCCGAACCCATAACTTTTCCACAGATGGCAGGGACGTTGCAGAAGGATATAATCTCAGCAGAGCCTCATCACAAGCATAGTGTTCCCCTCGTGGCTGAGGGTGAAAGAGCGTCAGATGTTGCCAATGGTAACTGGTCCGTTGGACCACAAGATGACAAATTCGAGAAGGGGCCTACCTGACCCACATCTTAAGAAAAATGTGTGGTGGTTCTCCGCTGTTTATCTGCAAAGATCAGCGGTGGATATCCTCTGCCCGTTTTTCTTAGGAAATGGGGTCCTGGCTGATCTTTGCCGCTGATCTGCGACGATCGGTGGCCAAGATTGGCCACTTTTTGGACTTGAAAAATCCGGGCCTACAGGACCCGGTTTCAAAATTGCGGGCCAGGGCCTACCCCCACGAGGCCTCGGGAACACATACGCGCTGGCAAAAAAAAAAATTCAGGCCCCAGCGAAAATGTGCTGGGGGCAACCGGGAGGGAACCGGCCCAGGCCACCGGCCGGTCCAACCGGGAGGACCGCGGATGGGGTAGGGGTCCACGGTCCATCCGGGGACCAGCCCTGCTTTTATATCTTTCTCTGCCTGAAACAGATCCAGCTGATTTTTAACTTTCTGCCATTGTGCCATTTCTGCCTGAAACAGTTCTTGGTGTATATATTGTTTGTGATCATGTTTGTCATTTCCTCCCGGGCTATGCGGACCCCCTCCGTGGCATGTATACAGCGTCTCGTCCAGATGGTCCACACAACGGCTCTCCTCCCTATCTTGAACATATTGTTTTCGAAGGTACTACCTGAGGGGGAATTCCATGCCTCCCTCAGATAGTATCGCCCTTCAGTCCCATGGCCAGGTCGATCTAGTGTCCAACAGGTTCCAGATTCTGTCCCACCATCACCATGTAAGGACGGCTCCGGACATTGCAAGAATATGTGTTCTATTGTTTCTGGGATCTTGCGGGAGGGGAACGCCGTGTGGCACCATGGCAGCGTCAGACCTTTCCCGTTCAAGGTATGTGCGATCTATTAGCCAGTCATTGGTGGGGAGGCAGCGGTGTTCTATCTGCCACTGCAGCGATGCTAGCTTTGCAGTCGTGGACCACGTGAGGGTGAACCATCGAATGGGGCGTATGGCGTTGACTCCCACATTCGAATGAGACCTCCAACGGGTCTTCACAATGTCTTTCAAGTTTACTCTGGCCTTCACAGTCAAGCTAAACAGCTTTATATTCTTAGTCACCCAGGTTCTTCCCGAGGGGGGGGACACTGCCACTCCTCAGGGTCAAAGGGGAGATCTGTAAGACAGGTCTTCGGTCGGTATGCTATCCAATCTTCCTTATCTTGTAGCACCCGGATCCTTTGCAGATCAGCATTCCGCCACCATTTCATCACGTCTGGGGTGTATCTGGTTAGCACATTGCCTGTTCCTTTGTAAAAGAGATTAACCAGCGTTTCATCCGCACGTGCCTCTACGAGGCTCCTACGCTCTCCGGGTCTCCTGGAGCGGCTACCCAGTCCCCTTCCACCAGCCTCAGTCCCTTGCGCAAAATGTGCACCCAATCCAAGGGGATTGCAAAGATCAGCTGTTCCAAGGTCCTTTCTATGTTGTGACAATGTTTCAGTAACATCCTCATCTCTGGCGCCATTTTCCAGTCTCTATTTTCTAAATCCCAGATGTCTTTAACTCTAATTATGCCTTTCTTGACCCAGCTGCTCCAGGGGGAGTCCATATATCCTTCCGTTCCGGTCCGTGATGTTTCTGTTCCCGAACAGGGGTTGTCTTGCCACCTCCTCCCACCTGGTTGAACCGGCCCTATCTGGTAGCGGGAGTTGGCGCCAAGCTCTCAAGCAGCGGATCCAGAAATCATCCTTGGCAAGGTCACTGCGGAATGCGCCCCGGCTCGAGGTCTGGTCAGTGCGGGAGCGTTGTGGTATGAACCAGAAGCGGTCTTCCAGATAGGTCAGGGGGTCAACAGCTTGCGGTGCTTGTGGGGCCAGTCGAGCGATCTGTTCCAGCGCCAGGGCATACCTTCGGAACATCTCGGTGCAGAGAAAGTCATTGAGTAGTTGGGTGGTCGTTTCTGGCATGAGTTTGTCGTCTCCACCAGTTCAATTGGTGAATTTGGTGAACGTCTAGACAACTGAGAGAAACTATAAGAGGGCATCACCACAGCACTCTCGAAATATGGAAAATGAGAATGAACGTCCCGCTAGAACATGGCCAGATGCACCCGCCACATTTTTGTGTTTTTCACATTTCGAGAGTGATGCAGGTGATGCTCCCCACCAATAGAT